ATCCGTGCGATCAAATCGCCAAAATAACATCATATACATCGAATCAAGCCTCAAAACTCATGTTTTTCTTTGAAATGTTCATAAAGCATCAAATTTCCATTTCGAGTCCGAAACACGTCAAACGACGTCCGTTTTCAACCAAATTTTATAGAAAGCGCTTACATCACATATAAGACTTGTACCGGGCGTCGGAACCAAAATACGAGCCCGATACCATAGTCTTCTGATCAAATTTTCTTTCCATTTTCCTTAATTAATTCCAGAAAATAATTTCACACAAAAATTCTTTTCTCGGGCTTGGGATCTTGGAATTCGATTCCGGGCATACGCCCAAGTCCCATATTTTTCTACGGACCCTCCGGGACCGTCAAATCACGGGTCCAGGTCTGTTTACCCAAAATGTTGACCAAAGTCAACTTTAACCATTTTAATATCAAAATTTAGCATTTTTCACACAGAATTCATATTTAAGCTTTCCGGCTACGCGCCTGGACTGCGCACGAAATTCGAGGCAACCCTAAATGAGGTTTTCGAGGCCTCAGAAGCACGGAATGAATAAGAAAACAGGCGATGACCCTTTGGGTCGTCACACATATTGAGGGTAAATTTAGTGGACCCAATAGGTTGGTGGATACTTATTTTTCTGGTTTTGAAGTGGTGTCAAAGAAGTCACTTATTGATTGTTTTGAGAAGAAGAAATGGCATTCTGGTGAAGACGCAGTTAAGATTGCAATCATTTATTTCATAAACACATTTCTAATGTCCACTCAGGCTTAGAAGACATTTATGAGAAAATGTGATTTCCATCTTGTCGAGAGTGGTGAGTATGTGTCGTTTCCATGGGTAAGATTGTGTTTCGAGCTTTAATGAAGTCGGTGAGGGACATGTTGAGGGAAAAGTCTGAGTTTTATAGGATTGGTGGATTTCCTCTTCCACTATAGGTGTGGTTCTATGAATGTTGCACTGTAGTTGATCAAAAGTTTGTTGTTCGCGTTGGAGATCTTACACCAAGCATATTGAATTGGAAAATGACAGACAGGCTAATGCATGAGGACTTCTCTACTGGTCTCTTCAACAGCACAGGGAATAAGGTACCATCTTTTATGTCTTGATGGGATATAAATTTATAATACACTGTAATTCATTGTGATACATCAAACATACAGTTTTGATACATCTTTGATACATCTAGGACTGAAGCACTTTTAGTTACCTTTGTAGTTTAAAAATATTTCTCCGACAATTGTAGAGCTAAGGAGATTTACTTTGCCTGTTGAAGCTACCGATGAGTATCAGAAATATTTGACATCAAGTAACAGGGGAAAACTTCCTATTGATGATAGCGATGATTTTGTCACGCCACCCCCGAAACAGATTAAGGAGCCTGTCCCACCAAAAAAGGCGCCAGGTGTCCAACCTGTTGATTATGACCGTGAGTTGCAGAAGTTGAAAGATGATGTGAAGCAAGTTTGTATTGGTCTTTTTTATATATTTTTTTGAAAGTATTGTTCAAATTGTATATTCAAAGTCTATTATCTTTCTTATTTGTTTCATCTTGTAGCTCCATAAGCAGTTAAATTCCTTCATGAAATATGTTTCTAATAAATTCAAGAATGTCTTTGAGTTGATAAATTCCAAGGTACGTGTTTCTTTTCCATTGTGCATTTCTTTTTATTTTTTTAGTTAACTTACTGTATCCTTTCTTAAAAAATAGCTTGGTGCAAGCAAAGTCAAATATGGTGCACATCCAGAGGAAGACACCAGTGGTCGTCAAGACAATAATGATTTTGTGAGCAATATGGAGTTCGGTGGCAATGAAGATGTCGAAATGGATGGTTGTAAGGTGTGTTTAGTTGTGCATTCTGCACTTTTCCCTTTTCTTTTCTTTGTTGTTTTTGATAATTCGATTCTTTTTTAAAAAAATAGGTCGGTGGAAGTGAAGGCAAAGATGTTCCACATTCTCAAAGAGATACTAGTGAGTATCATCGTAACAACATTATGCTCGGTGCAACAGGTCAGTTAGGTGTCAATACTATGGAAGGACCTTCTGGTGTGAAAGTTGACATGTTTGTTGCTAAAGTAACTTTCACTCTAGATGTAGCACATGCTGGCGGTATTGGTGAGATTGCAGATACGGCGGCAGGGGAGACGAAGGAAGAATCTAAGAAACAAAAGGTTCCTGAATCTCGGACTGGTGTTGTTTGTGCGACTGCAAGTGTTGATGCGGCGGCAGGGGAGACGGAGGAAGAATCTGAGAAACAAAAGGTTCCTGAATCTCAGACTGGTGCTATTTGTGCGACTGCAAGTGTTGATGAGGCGGCAGGGGAGATGGTTCTGTACAATCATGAATTACTTCTTGAAGTATCGCCGCAAATGGAAAAAAGAAAGCGATGTCCTGCAAAGGTCGTGCAGTCTCCATTCATTACTGTGTTTGATTCAGGTTCCAATACTGGTGTTGTTGCAGCGAAAGGAAAAAAGCAAATTTATGCTATTAAGCATCCTTTTCAAAGCAAAATCGGAACTGGCATTAACAACTCTTTGTTGAATGTATTTGCTGCGTGGGTCAAAGAAGGGAAGTCCAGAAAGAAATATTTCCAACTTCTGAGTTTTTTTCAGTTTTATATTTTAATATATTGTCACTTATAGCATTAATCTATATCAAATCACTGTACTCTTTTGTGTATATATGTTACCAGGAATGAAATTTACCCAAAGCATGTTAGTGAACTCAATCCTGCTTATGATCTTGGTGTATTTCATGGTGAAGACAAAAAAATGGTTTTACACTTTGGCATATAATGGCGAGCCTTTGGATGACTCGGTATGTAAGAATTTACTTTTAAAGTATTTTTTTTAAAATTTTAGCCAGTGTACACGTGAACACTCAGTCCTCTTAAGTTAGAACAAATTATTAATTGCTATTGCCTGGCACAAGAGATAGCAGTGAGCATTCATTTTCCTTTGTTTTTTGTGATTTTGGTTTGAAAAACCATAGCTGCTTAAAGCTTACGAGCCTTTAGTGATTAGTTATTTGTTATGTTTTGTTTCAGCACATTGACGTTTTAATCTATTATCTGAGGAAGAAGGGGAAGTATGACAAAGACCTACCTGTAACATTCACCACCACAGTTTGGTACTTCGACCAGAAACTTAATGAGTTGTGGCAGGCGTTTATTGATACAGATGGAGACAGTGATGTGCGCAATATGAAACATGTCATTGAGTATATTCAGGGTTTTGTCTTGGATGCCAATGTTCCATGGCACACTGTCGAGCATGTCTTAATGACAATTAATGTTACAGAACAATGGCATTGGATAATGGTTGTGATATCCTTCAAGGATAGGTGCATTTATGTGTATGACTCTATGCGCGGTGGAGCTGCTTATCAAGCCAAAGTTCATAAGACCATGGCCAAGTATTCTGTGTTGCTGCCTCATTTTTTCGTGCACACGCATTTCTATTTAAACAAAAAAGATATCAATTGGCGCACTGGTGTCTACAAATCAAAAGATTTGATTACCCTCTTTGCTGTAAAACTGGTTGAAGGATTGCCTCAACAAGTCGAAGTGTATGAATTTCTTTCAACACAATCTGTCTTGTTTTTAGATTCTGCTGTTTGATAGTTGTTGTTCTTTTTATTTTTGTAGTGATTGCGTTGTATTTGCAACATCATTTGCCGAGTATTTCATTGAGGGCAAGACGCCTCTTAAACAATACAATGCCTATGCACACCGGCGCAGATTTGGTGCTCTCTTGTGGGATTATGCTAGAAAGAAGATGGAACTGAACGCGCAAAGTGATGATGAGATTATTGGTCTACAGAAGAAGTCACGAAAGCAGAAGAAGCAGTTACTTCTATCATTGTTGTAGGATGAACTCTATAATTTTGTTTTGTATTGTGTTCTGTTATGTTGTCATTGTTGTAAGACGGATCAGATTTGTTTGTGTTTGAATTTTATGAATACTTTTAAGAATTTTATGGCAAATGATATGTTTGCTCTGTGATAAAGGTTTAATGAGTTTTAGTGCGATATTGGAGTGTTGCAGTTTAGTTAATTTTGGTGTTGTCTCCCTTGATTTTGTGTTGTGAATCAAAGATATGAAAAATATACCGTAGTGTGTGATACATTGTCTCTTGCAGATACACGAATGATACACATATGATATAGATATGATACACATATGATATAGATATGATACACGGTTTTCAAATATGTATTGATGAAGCCACTCTTATTTGCAAATTTCTAAAACTATTTGCATAGTTTTCTAGCTGCTACGACTGTTTTCCATTAGTTAGCTTTGTTATTACACAAATACAGACTTGAGTAAGAGCCTATACACAGAGATACATAGGTGATACACAAGTGATACATAGATGATACAAATGTGATACATAAGTGATACATATATGATACAAATATGATACATAGCTGATACAACTTCTTTTTAATCAAACAGACGTATAATATACACTTGCAACACGATTTTAAATGATAGGTCAAATATTTATTTATATCTAAAATTCAAATGACATTCTACAATGATATAGTTCTTGATATATTGCATTCTTCTAAATCTCTATGATATTCAGTAAAGTAAAATAACAAGTAATTCTAAATTTGACATATTTCATCCTCTCTTTGGATTATTTCTATAAGTTTTCCTGTTGTGACCTTCTTCTCCACACTGTCCACATGAATCGACCTTTTTCGTTACCTTTCAGATATTGGCTTGCACCTCCCCTTCCTTGGCCTTCCTATTGTTTTAGTCACGTCTGGTGGCAAGACTTTTTCATTTAGAACTTCAGCAAGAATTTTCCATGTGTTTTCATCAGGAACCGGATAAATTGGAATTTCATAGGTCTTCAATAGGTACTTCCTGGTGTAGTACACCGAGCAATACTCAATGTGATCAATGAATTTGTATTTTAATACTGCCCAAGCATGTGCACATGGCAACTCATCCAACTGAAACCGTCTACAGCTGCAAGTTCGATCTTTTAGGAACACCATTCTCTGCTTACCCTTGTCAAGTACTGAATATAAGTAACTCGTCGAAGGGGTTACCTACAAAATTTATCAACTATCATTAGTGGTGACAAAGCAGATGCCCTCAAAATACATATACTAGAGAGCCTACAAGATTCAAAATAGCTTAATATCATGTCAAACCAACCAATATTTCAGCAGTCGGGTAGGCATAAATGCTACATTAAATTGAAAGTCTTTGCTTTTGTGCAGGTGGACACTAGTTTAACAGAATCACACAAAGGGTTCAAGATATAACAGATCCATGAATTCGGCATGATTACATATTCTATGCACAAGTATCTACAGATTCCAGTCATACCTTCATCTGATGTGACACTTCAAGATTGTCCATCAACATTGTATCATATTTTTTTCCAAGATCAGTGAATGACTCTACTGCATTCTTTAGGTTTGTAACATTCCATCGTCCGATCAATTGCCTTATGTGGTCTAGCAAAGGCATTACTGGGAGTTCCCTAGCAGCCTTGAGCGCTGCTGTTGATTGACTGCGCATGTTGAAGTCAA